TGAAGCTCCAACTCACATACTTTGGGTACGTGACCAGGAGGTCCTTGGATACGGACATCATTCTTGTAAGGGAGGAAGGACAGCGCAGGAGAGGAAGACCCCAGACGAGATGGATTGCTACAGTAACTGGAGCAATAGGGGTAGGTTTATCGGAGTCAATCATTGACTCAGGACTGGGCTGGCTTCAGAGCTGTTGTTCATAGGACTGCCGAATCCCAGGCAACTCTATGGCACGTAACAACAATCACCTTATCATTGAGATGAGTAAGTTTCCATTTGTTCTTTGATCAGTTATATATATATAAAGATACTCTCAAAGATTCCAGAGAACTAAGGAGGGATTTAAATGCTGACTATCCCATTGATAATAAAACTGACTGGTGCAGGAGTAACTGAAAAAAAAAATTCCAGAGACAAAATGGCTCATGGTTAGAATTTAACAGATGTTCCGCTGGAAAAGGTTGGGGTAATCTCCTCCTGTGCCAGTCAGATCAACTCAATCATACACAATAAGAAAGAAAAAAAAATCCAGAGAATATCAAGAACTCTTTCCAATCAATAAGGGAAAAGATTAAAATACCACACTGTTCAACAGAAGTAGAACACAAGCTACATAAGTAATCTTTTGTGGTGGTGGTGGTTAGGTGCCATCAAGTAAAACTCGTAGTGACCCTACAACAACAGATCTGAATCTCCCCTATCCCATGCCGTCTTCATCAGCTCTGTCTGACACACTGAAGCCCATTGCTGCAGTCACTGTGTAATCTATATCATCAAGGATCTTCCTTTCACCAACCCTCTACTTTTTCAAGCATGATTTTTCATCAGGAATAGCCTCTCCTAGTAACATGCTCAAAGTATGTGAGACAAAACTTTGTCATCTTTGCCTCTAAGGAGTGTTCAGGCTGCACTTTTTCCAAGACATTTTCTTGTTTGTTCTTCTGGCAGTCTATGGAATGTTTAGGACTCTTCTTCAGTCCAAAGACATTGATTTTTCTGTCATCCTTATGCACTTAATCCAACTTTGAGATCATAGCAAGTGATTAAAAACAGCATGGTCTTATCAGGTGCAACTTAGTCTTCAAACTGACATCTTTTTTGGGAACCACCATCTTGCAGTGATCTGCCAAAATGACAAATATAGGGATGGAGGAGGGATACCCCCACTATACATCTCTCGGACCTTTAGGAAACATGGAGTTGATCCTCTGGCCGCTTAGATGTGAACCTACATGAAAGGAGATATTGTAGACATCAAGGGAATGGGCACTGTTCAAAAAGGAATGACTCACAAATGTTACCATGGCAAAACTGGAAGTCTGCAGTGTTACCCAGCATGCTCTTGGCATCATTGTGAACAAGATAAAGGTAAGATTCTTGCCAAGAGAATTAAAGTACGCATTGTGCATATTAAGCACTCTAAGAGCAGAAACAGCTTCCTGAAACGTGTGAAGGAAAATGATCAGAAAAAGAAGGAAGCCAGTGAGAAAGGTACTTGGGTCCAGCTGAAGTGCCAGCCCACTCCCCCCAGAGAGGCACACTTTGTGAGAACAAATGGGAAGGAATGTGAGTGGCTGGAACCTATTTCCTAAGAATCCATGGCATAATCAGGGTGAAATAACTGTCTTGGGAAAAGGGGGTGGGGTGGGAGGCTGACATAATTGTTCCTCAAAAATTTGGAGCAGACCCTGACTGCTGAAAGTCCAAGCAGACATTCTCAATGCATTATGCCTCCTAATCACCTGCCTGGTGGTACCAAGGGTTTTGGTTGTGGATCCAAGTAAGACGAAAATTCCAATCTCAGTTTCTTGATGTTGAGATGTAATCCATATTGAAGGCTGTACTCTTTGATCGTCTACAAGTGTTTCAAGCTCTCATTTTCAGCAAGCAAGGTTATGCCAACTGCATAACGTAGGTTGTTGATTAATCTTCCTCCAATCTTGCTGCCACATTCTTCACAAATCTCAAATTTATCCTGAACTATTTGCTCAGCTTATAGAGGACTGAATAAGTATGGAGAAAGGTTACAACACTGATGCACACATTTCCTCATTTTTATATAGATTATTTGTTGAAATAATGTGTAATCTTTAAAAAGTACTCTCGTGGCCTAGTGTTAAGAAACTGTCCTCTTATACCAAAGGCACACAATTGAAATCCACTAACTGCTCCAAGGAGAAAAATAGGCTATCTCCTGTGCGATTTACTGCCTCTGTAACCTCACTGGATGGTCAGCTGTGAATTGGATCCAACTTGATGGCACACAAAGGTAAAATCTTGGTGAGGCATTCCCAGGTTCTGGCACCAAAAAAAATCTTGGAGAGGATGTGGCAAGATAGGAACTCTTATAAATTGTTGGTGGGATTATAAAATGGTACCACCACTCTGGAAGGCAGTTTGGTGCTTCCTCAAAAAGCTGAACATAGAAATTCCATATAACCCAGCTATTCCATTGCTTGGAATATACTCCAAGACAATGAGAACTGAGGCTCAAACTGAGACTTGTGCATCAATGTTCATAGCAGCATTATTCACCATCACAAGAACATGGAAACAGCCCGTATGTCCAACCACAAATGAATGTATTGAGAAGCTGTGGTGCATTCACAAAATGGAATATTATGCAGCACATAGGAACAATGATTTTGTAAATTACTACCTCACTTGGTAGGGACTGGAGAGCATTATGCTGAATGAACTATCACAGTCCCACAAGGACAAATACTGTATAAAATCATTATTGTAGTATGAGTATGAGGATCCCATAGGGGAGGGAGGGGTAGAAGCAGAGAGGTGAGATGGGAGGGGGATGAATGTTAATCACAGGGTTGCACAATTCAATTGGGGGAGTGCAAAAATGGGAAAGATCTTTTGTGGAAAAAATGTATACAAACTTTGTAAATAAATTGGTAGAAAGGGAGGAAAAGGTTTGAAACATTGAAGGCCAGATGAGCTGTGGGATGATATGCAGGATATCATCCATGAAGAGTACAAAAGGTTATTACAAAGAGAGAAAGAAAAATAGAAATTAATGTCTTAAGAGACTGAAAATTGCACTAGTGTCAAGAAGCCAAAATAAAGGGGAAATACGCCTAAGTAAAAAACCTGAACAGATTTCAAAGGGACGCTCAAGAAAATAAGGCAAAGAATTAGAAAGTTTTTCTGCCACATTTGTACCAATTTTTATCCTGAAGATTAATGTTATATATGCCTACTTCCACAATGTTCAAGGTTTAACAATCTGACAGGTATAAATGTTCTCTCTCTATGGCTCTTTTATTTGCATGTTTACATATTTTATGGATATTATAAAATGAAAAATCTGATGTGTAAGTCCACCACCAAATTTTTTGATCATTGGAGACATTTTCTATTGCTTCCCTCCATTTTTTTATTTTAAAATCTTGATTTCTAGTCAATGCACAATAGGTCTTTGTAAATGAGAGCTGCAATGTTTCCCCCAAGTCTGCCTTTCATTTTAAGGTGTGAGTTGCCATATACCATTTTTGTTGAGCCAATTGATCTTGTTCCATTTAACTTCAAAGTTTTATTTGTAATTGGAATAGCCCTATATGATAAAGATGCTCCAATTATCTTTTTTTGTTGTTATTGTATACTGTTGAATCAGATCTGACTGGCACAGGAGACTGCCACTCCTTCTTCAGTGGAGCATCTAGTGGATTTGAACCACATGCCTTCAGGATTGCAGCACATCTTCTTGCCACTAGGCCACCAGAGCTCCCTTCCAATTCTCTTTTGTTGTTCAACTAATCCTAAAACTTAGATGCTAAAAAAGACCTTTCTATCCCTCACAGTTTTGTAGTCTGAGCTTGGTGAAATGATTTTCCTTTCTGTGGCTGCAGAAGCAGCAGGTTTGAAATGTAAGAACCAGCCTGCGAAGTCCCCTAATTTCACTTCTGCTGCATCCTCTGGCTCAAGCAAGTCACTAAAGCTCAATTTTGTGGGAGGGTAAATAGACTACCTCCTGGCAAAAACATAGGGGTGAATCGATAGTACGTGCCTAGGTGACTAGGACGCTCTGGTGGCATAGCGGAAAGGAGTGGTGCTGCCAACCTGAAGGCAGAGAGCTGGTATGAATCCACCAGCTGCTTCACAGGAGAAAGATGGGCATCTCTTCTACGATTAACTGCAGGTGAAACCCTGCTGGAGGGTCAGTGCTATGGGTCAGTTCTAACTCCACAACACACAGCTCCCACCACTATAATCCTGCAGCCATGCCTGGGAGATGGGGCACAGGTGACCACAAATGCTACGAAGACTTCCTACCATTTGAAAGAGCCCTTTTCCTTGGTCAGCGCTCTCTTGGTGGCTGGAAATCTGTTTCCAGAGTTGAGGCGGTTGGGTCTACCAGTCTTTTCATGTCTCTGTGGTGATACAAAGCTGCAGCAATGGGCTTGAGTTGTGTCAGAGATTGTTGAGGATGGCGTAGAATAGGGCGGGGTTCTGATTTTTTGTTCACACAGTCACTATGAGTCCTACTTGCTCAATAGCATCTAACAACCACATGGTGAGACATGAGTGGGAATTGCCTACTCATCCCTTTTTTCATCTAGAACAAAACCACTCCAGACAGAAATACAATGAAAAAATTTGGCACACTATCTTTAAACATGGTTAAATAAACATCTTTAGCCCTATGAAGTGAACTAATGAGAATGACTAAGAGATCTCAGATTCGATCTTACTTTCACCTAGACAGAATTCATGTCTTACACAGGACTTAAAAATTCAATCTTTCTTCCCTATCATCTTTATAGACTAGCATATGAATGAAGTACATAGTCAGGGTTAAAGATCTGTAAAGAAGCAAAGTTTATTGAAACAAAAGGCCACAAAGCATGGGAATGACAACGTGGACAAAGTAAAACAAGTTAAATGTCCTTTCACAACTTAAGGAATGCACAACTGAAGGAATGCCTTTTTCTAATCCATTTCATCAACGTGTAACAACTTTGACCACTTAGTGTACTTTGCCACCTTCACTTATAAAGGGCATGCAAGGCAACAGAAGATGGCCCAGAACAAGCCTCCAGGTTAGCCTGCAGTTCTGGTTTGTAATACATGGGCTTCATCCTTCTGTGTCTGCTGATGCGAGACTTCTGGTTAAAACCTTGTCCATATGTCCTAAATATATAAGGCTTCTCCCCTTTATGTGTCATCTGATATAAGAGGAGGTATGACTTCTGGATAAGGCCTTGACCACATTCTCTGCATACACAAGGCTTCGCTTCTGAATTATACATAGCCGCTTATGTGTAATTAAAATTGACTTATTGCTAAAGCCAAGTCCACACTGCCTGCACACATAAAGTTTCTCCCTTGAGTGTTTCCTCTTGTGTCTGATGAGACCTGCCTGGTGACTGAAGCCTCTCTCACATTCCCTGCACACATAAGGCTTTTCCCCAGAATGAGTCCTCTGGTGCACCACCAGGTTTGACTTTTGGCTGAAAGCTCGTCCACAATCTTCACATACCAAGGGCTTCTCCCCTGAGTGTGTCCTCTGGTGCCGGATGAGATTTGACTGCTGGCTGAAGCCTCGACCACAGTCTTTGCACATAATGGACTTATCCCCTGAGTGTATGTTCTGGTGTCTGGTGAGGTGTGACTTTAGACTGAAGCCTCGCCCACACACGGTACACACATAGGGCCTCTCTCCAGTGTGTATTCTCCTGTGTGAGATGAGGGTTGAATTCTGGCTAAAGCAGTGCCCACACACCCCACACACATAAGGCTTCTCCTTTGAGTGTGTCCTCTGGTGATTGACAAGGGTTGTCCTCTGCCTAAAGCAGCGTCCGCACTCTTTGCAAGCATAAGGCTTCTCTCCTGAATGTGTCCTCTGGTGTGAGATGAGGTTGGACCTATCACTAAAGCCCAGTCCACAATCATTACACACAATGGTCTTCTCCTCAGAGTGTGTCCTCTGGTGCCTAACTACAGCAGATTTCTGGCTAAAGCCTTTCCCACACTCCCTGCACACATAAGGCTTCTCCCCTGAGTGTGTCCTCTGGTGGATGATGAGGTTTGACTTCTGACTAAAGCCTCGCCCACACTCACTGCACACATACGGCTTTTCACCTGAATGCGTCCTCTCATGTATGATGAGTGTTGACTTCCGGTTAAATCCTCGCCCACACTCCTGGCACACAATAGGTTTCTCCCCTGAGTGCGCCTTCTGGTGTCTGGCAAGGCTTTTCTTTAGACTAAAGCCCTTCTCACAAACTCCACATATATAAGGCTTTTCCCCTGAGTGTATCCTCTGGTGACTGCGAAGGTTTGTCACCTTGCTGAAGCCTAGACCACACTCTCCACAGTTGACTGTTCCAAATCCTAAAACGTCTATCCTCTTCAAGAATTGGTCTGTTTCCTCTGCGATCCCTCCCTGGGCTGGGTTGGCATCTATTTCCACACCTCTGATGACATTCCTGGATGTGACTGGCTGTTGCTGGGGTGGCCTGGAGAATGTCCCTAAAGTTCTTTTCTTTGTCCTGCCCAAAAGAGGTTCGGTACCATCTTTCTCTTGACCTTCTGACTTATCACTCCAGGAACCTTCATGAAAGGGCTGCTGCTTCTCCTGGTACCCTGGGCAGGAATCCCTTAACTGGACATGACTTTTGGCACACAGGCATGTGAACATCCAAGAGGCAGGGCTACAGAGCAAATGCTGCATGTGGAACTTCTCGGTGGAGAAATCCAGAGGGCAGACAGGACAGCACTGCACTTCTGGCTGTGGTTCAGCTACAGAGAGAAGAGAAGAGAAATGAATCACTGGTTAGGCACTCCACTAATTCTCCATGTCTGACGGTGAGACTTGATCTCTAGTCTTCAAAATGCTTAAGACTTAAATGCTATCCCAATCAAGACTTCCCTTTTATGACCTACCTTTTCATTTCATCCTTAAATGCAACATCTATTTCAATCCAGAAAACCTAATCCTAAAACTTGTTTTAGGTGTCAGACTATAAACATGTTCAAAGAAGCACCACACAGTTTTCATTCTGTGAATAAAGGCAATACTTAGTCTTATTTTCCCCCTTAATGCAGTTGTATTTTAACCCATACCCACAATGCTGAGAAACAATGAACCACAGAACTCATGGACAGACGCCTTTATAGCTTTCCCTTTTCCCCATGAGGGCAAAGGGATGAACTGAGAGAAGAGTTAGAGAGTCTGGAAAACCTCTAGGATAGGAAGCTGTGTAAGATGGGAGGGATTCTGGGAGATGGTGGTGTAAACAGACCACCATTCTATCCTGCCCCTACAAATACAATAAAAACACAAAGCAATGATGCTAACACCCTGAATCAGAGAGGATGGAGAGGAGCAGAGATCTGTGCACAGACAAGAATCAACCAATCAGCACTGCTTTGCAAAAGGGAAGAAAATCACTTCTCCCACACCCTCCCCATCAGCACTGAACTAGGGCAGCAGCCCCAGCACAGGAGTCTGCCTTCCTAACCACCGGCTCCCTGCCTCCCTGGCTGACAGACAGGACCCTATCTCTGCTCTAAATCAACAGGGCAGAGGCATCCCCTGGAACCCTTCAGAGCTTGCTAGAACCTCCCGATCAAACATGGTCAGCCACTGCTCTGCTACAAAATGTCCCAGAAGACTCCTGCAGTAGATAGAGGCTGGCCCCTAATCGCTTCTCTATCTGCCTGCTTGCATATCCAGAGACTAGGCCTCTGTGACCAAAAACAGAAGGGAGCTCTGGTGGTCTAGGAAACTAAACTTAATGTAAAGGCCACACTTCTCCAGTGGTTCAAATCCAGCAGCAGCTCTATGGGAGAAAATGGGAAAACTCATCCTGTGTGGTTTATAGCCTTGGAAATCCACTGGAGAGACAACTACGAGTTGATTCTGACTTAATGGCAATGAGTTGAGTTACTGAACTAACAAAACAGACCTTCCCAGGGGTCAGACCTTCCTGGGGGTCAGTCTGCACCTGTCTGCTCCGCCATGCAGTCTGCACTGAGAAAAGCTGACAAGGATGCTGTGTGTTAGAAGCAGGCATGTAGAGTTAAGAGTTAAGCCAACACAGGTATACTCTCTCCCACTGCCGTTTAGTCAGAAACCTACTCATAGATGATCCTCCAGTGAGTTTTCACAGGCTCTATCCTGCACAGAAGAATGCCCATCTTTCTCCCATGGAGCAGCTAGTAGATTTGAACCCCTTGCCTTTGGGCTGACAGCACAACTCCTTACCACAAGGTCACCAAAGCTCCCTGTTACAATATTGTTTATAATAGCTAAACTTTGTAGACCTTCTACTTAAATGCATTATATGTTACATTTATAGAGAATTAATAATTAGCTGATTTAATCTATGGTAGTTATATGCATCTGATGTGACACCATTATATAGAATAACCAAGGATCACATATCATTATGTGGAAAAAAAAATCAATGGGAGAGAGTATACCACTTAGACCTTATTATTTTGTGGACAAAGTCTAGCTAAAATTCATAGTACACAATTTTAATAAATGGTTTGAAAAATATCTCAATGATGCAAGCATCAATGTGTCTTGAAAGTGTTCATTTTCTATCCTTATCTATCCAGGATGCTAGCAATCATATTAATGTGTGTAAATCTCAGGAGGGGAATGACAGTTTATTATTCCCCTAATTTTCATTTAGTTAAAGGATGTTCAGGGCCTTCCTTCCAGTTACTTCTGAGGACAAACACCTCGTATACAAGAAAAAAAAGCAATGCCAGTCCTGTCCCAACCTCACAGCTGCTGCTGAGCACAGCCACTGGGTCAGTCCTTGAAGACTAACCTTGTTGTCTGTGATCTAAGACTTTACAAAAGCAAGTTGGTCTTCAGATATTGGTTACTCCTGATTATTTATGGAAAGGATAAGTTTCATCATCTCCCAAGTCTCATCATTTCTCTTAAGTTTTCTAGCAACAACTCTTGAGTTTGTTCTTTTGACAGTCCATTCAATATTCTTTGTCATCACCACATTCAAAGGCATCAATTCTTTTTTGTTCATTTTTATTCACTGTCCAACTTTTACATTCATGGTTTATATATAAGTTATACATTCTTGTATGTGTAGTGTTCTGGGATTCCCATTCTTCTCAATGTCAGCTGTAATTTGTCATGATCCACACAATCAAATGTCTTTGCACAGTCAATAAAACACAAGTAAACATCTTTCTGCTATTCTCTGCTTTCAGCCAAAATACATCTGACATGAGCAATGACAACACCTGTTCTCTGTCCTCTTCTGAATCCAGCTTGAATTTCTGGTATCCCTGTTGATGTACTGTCCTAGCAAATTTTAAATCTTCAGCAAGATTTTACTTGCAGTGATACTAATAATATTGTTGGACAATGTTCACATTCTGTTGGATCTCCTTTTTACAGGATGGAAACAAATATGGATCAATTTCTCTCAGTGAGTTGGCCAGATGTCTTCCAAATTTCTTGGCATAGAATAGTGAGCATGTCCAGGGCTGCATTTGTTTGCTGCAACAACTCAGCTGGTATTTCATCACTTCCTGGAGCCTTATTTTTAGTAATGCCTTCATTACTTCATTGCAGAACTTCTTTATTATCACTGGCTTTTCTTTTAACAATTTATTATTGATCATTAACTACTTCCTGAAATGTTTATGTGCTGACTAACCCTTTATGCAGAGATTCTGTGTATTCCTTTTACTTTTCTCTCGATACTTCCTGTTTCATTCAAGATTTTGTATGGAGAATCCTTCAGTATTACAACTGGATACTTTAATTTGTTCTTTACTTCCTTGAGCTTGAGAAATGTAGAACATGTTCTTCCCTTTTGGTTTTCTAACTAGTTCTTTGCACATTTCATTATAGTACTTTGCTTTGTCTTCTCTATCTACCTTTTGAAACCTGTTCATCTGTTACTTCAGCATTTATTTTGGCCTCCATGTTCTAGTGCCATTTTCAGAGTTTCTTCTGTTATCTCTTTTGATATTCATCATTGCCAATACTGTAATTTATGTAAGATATCATTTGATTTCCTTATGCAAATTATGAGACATGAGTTTTTAGTATTTTCTCAGTCAGGAGCTCCCTTTTTCTTAACAAAGTTTTAATCTTGATAAAAGTCTAATTAAAATTGTTTTGTAATTATTTACTTCAAATTTTTCACATATGAAAATGACTGGTAACTGTATAATAATCTTGTATCCTTCTCCCTTGTTAAATCCATTCATTTACATTTTAACATTCTAGTAAATATTCATACCTTTCTAAGGGTTTTTTACAAAGATGAAAATCTCACTTAGTAATAGAAAGCCTTCTTCCTTCCTTTTCTGACATCTAAGTTGCCTCTAATTTTGCTCCCCTGCTAACCACAAATAAAATGTTGAAGTGAAGTAATGAAAGCTGACAGCCTAGATCACTGAAATGTGTCCAAGAACTCTGATAGAATCGGAGACTGAACACTAGCGACTTTATGGGATAAGTACCAGAGGAAGGCATTCAGACCACCACTCCTATAGAGAAATGAGTGGAAGCTACTCAAAATGACAGATTCTGCTATGGGAGTGAGATGGGCAACCTCCTCCCCTGCAAGTCTCTGAAAATCCACTGGAGGCTGAACTAGGAATCAGTTCTGACTCAATGGCACATAACAGTAACAACATACCTGATGAATCGTAGGCATAGCGGGAGGGAAAAAGAATAATTCAGAAAAGCACATTAGTATTAACTTCTGTCAATTTTTTAAATTTTATTTCAGACTTAACTTTAGATTCAATAACCTCAGCGAGGACTCTAAAAAAGGAAAGTAAAAAGCATACCTAGGTAAGCACGTTATATTCAAAGTACTAAAACTCCAAAAATGTAGAGAAAACCTAGACAATAAACAGAACGGAGGGTGGTGGATGGAGAAGTCAAGATAAAATGATGCCAGTGGTGGCTGACTTCACATGGACAGTATCTTTAAAGTGCCAAAAAGTAAACAACCCAGATTTATATGGCTGGTGAAAAGAACGAACATGAAGGCAAAATGGAGACATTTTCAGAAAAACAAGCAGAGAAAACACTGCCATCTACACATAATAAGTGACAATAAAATTCTTTAAGCTGAAGAAAATCAGTATCAGATGAAAACTCAGAAATTCAGGAGTGAAAATGAATAAACAGGACAAATACAAAAGTGTATTTCTTCATAATTTCTTTAAAATGCATGAATGATAAAAGAAAATTTTAGATATCATGTTAGGAATGCATCATTTGGTAGATATAATATCAACGACAGCTACAGAATAAAGGATGTGGGAGGGCAGTAATTGGGCTCCATCTATGGAGGTGCAGTCTTCAAATGACAAGGAGCAGGAGGAACCACCGCCTGGACCACAAGAACACAGAGGGAGCCCTGCCCTGAGAGCCGTCCAAAACTTGCTGCAGGTAGAAAGCTGTAGCTGTAATATACTGTAATATACAGACATGAAGCATGGAGTGGAAGAGACCCACAAAGATGCCATACAGGCCAACATAGAGCCCAGTGTCAGATTAGAGCCTTTCAGGGCAAACAGGGACAGATCTAAGCAGGGAGCTTCCTAGCTGAGAGGGTGGTATGTCCACTAAGACACAGGGATCTGGTGCAGGAAACCTACCCAGATCCAAGGGCAAGAGCTGTAATAAGTGCAGAGCTACAGACAGGCAAGGTGCTAGAAACACAGCAGGCCAGGGTGAGTGGAGCAGAGTGGAGAAGAAGAAGTGCACCCACAGACTTGTCAGCCCAAGAGATGACAAGAGCCCAAGAGCAGGAGGCATCTGTGTCCCCGAGCCATGACGGCGTTGTGGAGAGTGAATGTCTGGACTTCCAGTAAGTCAGACCCAGGCATGTCTTCATTCGTGCTTGTATACCCTGTTTTCACTGTTCTGTTGTAACAATTTTTACTGCAGGTATGCTAACTCTATGCTTTTGGGGGCAATGTAGTGAATTATCCAACCTAATAGAGTCACATCCAGGGCAGCATCTGTTAGCTGAGATACGTCAATTGGTATACCATCTATTCCTGGAGCCTTATTTTCTGCCATTTCCTTCAAAGCGGCCTGAACTTCTTCTTTCATCACCATAGGCTCTTGCTCATATGTTGTTTCATAAAATTCTTCTGTGTCTTCCAATTCCTTTCGATACAGTGACTCAGTATATTCTTTCCATCTTCTTTTAATACTTCCTGGATCATTTTACATTCTGCTGAAA